TTTCTGAGATGGTGTATTGATGTCCCCCAGTACTATTGTATTGGAATCTAACTCTCCCTTTAAGTCCCTTAACATATCTTTTAAATGAACCAGTGCCCTGTATTTAGGTGCATATACATTGATAATCTTTACATCTTCCTGTTGAATTGATCCCTTAATCATCATATAGTGGCCCTCTTTGTCTCTCTTAACAGTTTTTGTGTTAAAGTTTATGTTGTCTGATATTAAGATGGCTACACCCACTCTTTTTTCATTTCTGTTGGCATGGTATATCTTTTTCCAGCCTTTCACTTCGTCTGCATGCATCTTTGTTGGAAAGATGTGTTTCTTGTAAGCAGCAAATAGATGGGTTTTGTTCCTTAACCCAGTCAGCCAATCTGTGTCTTTTAACTCTAGAGTTGAGGCCATTAACGTTCAATATGACTATTGATAAGTAGTAACTTTGCCCTGCCATTTTCTCAAAGATACTTTCTAATATGTGCTTTGAACTTCCTCTGATCTTTTGCTGTGAGGTTTCCTTACTTTACCTTCTTTCATATTGATGCCCCTGCTTATATCTTTGTGTTTAACACATCTTTAAGCATCTTTTGCAGGGTTGGATGAGTGGCGACATATTCTTTCAATTTCTGTTTGCTCTGAAAGGTCTTTACTTCACCTTGATCCACAAATGAGAGCTTTGCAGGATATAATATTCTGGGCTGGCAGTTTTTCTCTCTTAGTATCTGGGCAATGTCTCCCCATTCCCTCCTAGCCTGTAGGTGCTGTGAGTCTAATTGGAGATTAGATTTCTCTTCACTATCACACTTTCCTGTTCAACTAATTTCTGCATTTCATTTTGATTCCTCCTTAAGATTTCATTTTTCACGAGAGAGATTTTCTATCCTGTCCAGTAAGGATTTCTGTAGTTCAAGAATTTGTTTTTGAAAAATTCTAAATGTTTTTATCATAAATTTTTTTGAAATCCGTATCCTGCATTTCTTCTATCTCATCATCTTCATAATCTTGGCTTGGGGTGTCTTGTTCATTTGGGGGCATCATAATGTCTTCCTTGTTCTTGTTTCCTCAGTTTCTGCGTTTGTTGCTTGGCATTGTGGAGATATTCTTTGGATTCTTCTTCCCTCGCTGTGGTGTTTTTTCTTGTTATACACTATGACTGTATTAAGTGGACTGTCTGCTTTTGATGCAGCCTTAGAGGCTTGAGATGGGTGTGGCCAGAATGCTCTGTTTGGTTCTTCAGGGTTAAGGGTCTGCCAAAGGTGACACACCCAGGTTAGGCATGGTACATCTCTCTCTCTCTCTCTCTCTTTTTCAATTCAGAAGGGAAGAAATTCCGCACAGCTGAGCGGAATATTAGGCAGTCAGCTTCCAATCTCTGGCTCCTGTGGGTTTAACATTCGTCTGCTCTTTCCCAAGGATGACACCAAGACTCTGTGGTGCCCCGACTGTGGGCTCAAATTCCCTTCCAGTCTCCCACCAGGTTGCCAAGGTTACCGAATTGTAGCGTCTCTGGCGAGTACTCACATGAACTCTGTGAGTTCTCTCACCCACCATCTCTTTTTTCACAATCTCAGTTCATTAGCTCCATGCATTCACTAGGTCCTAACCTCCTGTTATTTCACCCTGCTAGAGTCAGGTTTTTCTGGTTGGCTGATGGCGGGCACTGCTTTAAGTATGTCCAAAATGATGCCTGCTCTTTGTCTTGTTCGGTTTTTAGAGGTGAGCGGAGAGAGAGAGACTTGTGTCCATACTTCCATACTGGTCCCCCCTTTTTTTTCCTCTCTCCTCTAGTTAGCCTAATGAGCTTTCCTGCACAAGGCTTCAAGCCCTTAATGAGAAACCACTACAGATTTTTTGGTTTGTTTGGGGGATTTATTTGTTTATTTGAAAGTCAGAGTTACAGAGAGGGAGGGAGAGACAGAGATGTTTCATCCACTGGCTATAAGAAGCCAGGAGCCAGGGGCAACACGTTGTCTCCCCACATGGGTGACAGAGGCCCAAACAATCGACCCACCCTCAACAGCCATTCCTCAGGCCTCTAAAAGTGTGCTGGATCAGAAGTGGAGCAGCCAGGGCAGGCACTGTTCCCCACAATGGATTCCAGCACCGCTGGCGGCCCTACCCACTACACCACAGCACTGGCACCTGGCCTCACTGTTTTTGACCATACTTGTAAGAACAGTCTTCTGAGAAGTGCACGGCTGCCCATCTCAGTTGATTTTTTATAAATGATGAGAGATATGGATCTGATTCCATTCTTCTACACGAATACATCGAGCTTTGCAGCACCGTTTGTTGAAGAGATTATCCTTACACCAATGAATGGTCTGAACCCTTTTGTCAAAAATCAGGTGGCCATATGTATTTAGATTAACTTAGGGATTCTCTGTTTCGCTCCATTGGTATGTCTCAGTTTTTTTATTGCCAGTCACATGGTGTTTTAATTAGTATAGTTTTTTAGTATGCTGTGAAGTCAGGTATTGTGATGTCTCCAGCTTGATTTTTATTTCATCAGGATCACCTTAGCATTTCTGGATCTTCTGTGGTTCTGTATGAATTGGAGGGTTGTTTTTTCTAATTCTGTAAAGAATGTCATTGGTATTCTGTAGATTTCTTTCCATGAAATAGATATTTTAATGATACAGATTCTTCCAATCCACTAGCAAGGAATATCTTTCCGTTTTTTTGTGTGTCCTTGATTATTCTTTGGTCAGTGTTTGATAATTTTTATTGTAGAGCTCTTTCACTTATTTGATTAAAATTATTCCTAAATATACTGATTTTTGTTCCCTCTTAACATTGCATTTGCTGTGTCCCATACTGTTTTGGTATGTTGTACTGTTATCTTCAATCATTTCCAGAAATTTCTTGATTTCCATTTTGATTTCTCCTACGACCCACCATTCATTCAGGAGCATGTTGCTCGGTTTCCATGTGTTTGCATATGTTCTGGAGTTTCTTGAGTTGTTGATTTCCCGTTTCCTTGCATTTTGGTCATAGAAGATGGATGAAATGATTTCAGTTATTGAGTTTACTAGGCTTGCTTCTGGCCTATCATATGTTGTGTCCTAGTGAATGTTCCAGGGACTGATGAGAAGAATGTGTATTCTGCTAGTGTGAGATGAAAAGTTCTGAGTTAGGACTTCAAACAAGGCAGCCTGTTCCCCAGGACACAGTGATGAGCGATTGCGTCATCTATAATTGTGACATAATGAAAGGGCTAGGAAACGACCAAGAGAAGACAGTTCAGGTGTTCTTGTAAGATACCGTTTTTTAGTTAAGAGATCCAAATTCCATGCATTTCATAAATGCAATTTAGGTACACAGTGATAGTCCCAACCCTCCCTCCTGTCTGTGGCACAACACATTGTGCACTTGGTTGTCTGACTCCAGGCAGCAGCCCCGGAACTGACCAGGCCAGGATGCTGGGTGGGTATCTGCCGTTCAGTAGCCGTGACCATGGGCAGTTTGGCAGAGCTGTGCACCATATGGGAGTGGCTGGGTGTCAACCCAGGGATCTAGAGAGCTCCACACTGCCCTGAGCTTCTGGTGGGTTGGATTGGGAGCAACGATGCCCTTGGAGTGCTCCTGATGATGGTGAGCACAGGAAAGGCATGACAGGCTGGGGCTCAGGCCTGCAGCCCGTGTTTCTTCAAGGTAGTGTGGCCTCTTTCGCTGACACTGTGTATGCTTGGAGGAAGGGGCAGGTGTTAGTTGGATGGTGCTTGCATAGTAGGCCTCGGGGAGAAGTAGGCAATGTCTGTGGGAGTGGTGTCGAGGTTGAGGCCAGCTGGCAGTGGCATTGGCGGTAGTATTACGGTAGGCTTGGAGAGTGCATGAGGGCATTTGCTGCGTTTAAGCTTACGGACAGAGAGATGCCCAGGGCCTGCCTCAAAGGATGTGGGATACGGGGCTTCCCAGCGGCATTCTCCCCCCAAATCCGCAGGTTCGGAGGCAGTGGGGGTGGGCGGTGGCTCAGCTGTAAGGAAACTGAGAAGCAGATGCCTGCCTCCCCTCCTGCCTCCCAGAGGACACGGATGTGAAATTAACCCAGAGTAGACTAGTGTTCTCCTGTAATTTGATGATACTGAGTTTTAGATTTCGTTCCTTAAAGTGTTTTTAGTTGCTTTTTTATTTTTGATAGGCAGAGTGGACAATGAGAAAGAGATAGAAAGGTCTTCCTTTTCCGTTGGTTCATGCTCCAATGGCCACTGCGGCTGGCGCGTTGTGGCCAGCGCACCGCACTGATCTGAAACCAGGAGCCAGGAGCCAGGTGCTTCTCCTGGTCTCCCATGTGAGTGCAGGGCCCAAGGACCTGGGCCATCCTCAACTGCACTCCTGGGCTACAGCAGAGAGCTGGACTGTAAGAGGGGCAACCAGGACAGAATCCGGTGCCCCGACCGGGACTAGAAACCGGTGTGCTGTGCTGCAGGTGGAAGATTAGCCTATTGAGCCACAGCGCCAGCCATTTAGTTGCTTTTTGTAGGTGTAAGGTATGGGTCTTCTTTCAGAGTTCTGCATATCTGTGCAGTTTTCTCAGGACCATTTTTTGAAGAAACTGTCCCTTGCACTTGGGATTGATCTTCAGCTCCTTCTTGAAAGATAGATTAGTTGTAGATATGTGTGTGTTATTTCAGATGTTTCTTTTCTGTTCCTTTGTTCTGTATGTCAGTTTTTTACTATACCAAGCTGTTTTGATTGTAACTGTCCTGTGCTGTGTCTTGCAATCTGTTATTGCGATGCTTCGAGTTTTGTCAATGTTGTATAAGGTTGCTTTCTCTATTCAGATGTTCTGTGTTTTCATATGAATTTTAGCATTGTTTTCTCTCCATCTGGGCAAAATGCTATTTGACCTTTGCTTGGGATCCCATTGTGTCTGTAAATTGCTTATGGTAGAATGGATATTTGCATTATGTTGATTTTGCCAGTGAGTCAGCATGGAAGATTTTTCCATTTTTGGGTGTCTTCTTCCATTTCTTTAATGTTTTATAACTTTTTTGTAGACGTTTTCATGGATATGAAATTGGACACTGAGTTGACAAGGAAGTTCAGCTGCTGGGTAATCTTCCATTTCTGGAACCTCCTTGGCTTCCTGGTAAAACCCAGCTGTGCCTTCACCCTGGACAGGAGCAACTGGTTAGTACATGTGGCTGTGTCCTGTTGATGGCAGCCCTTGGACCCAAAGGGGAGTGGAGGGAAGGGAAGGGAACCCTGTTCCCTACAGTTGGGCTGGCCAGGTTGAGAACAAGTTGGACTTCCAACCTTTGGGATGGAGGGTCAAGTCGGGGAGCCCTACATACATGTGGAGACAGAAATGTGGGGGCCTAGCATTCCTAGAATTGAGTGGGGGCCACAGAGACAGAGGTGAATAAGATGTTGGTGAATGAGTTCCCTGGTTCTTTGTAGTTTATTAAGGGCCATAGAACATGCTAAGAAGGGAAGACTGGTTGTCCAGCCAGTGGGAGGGAGACCTGGAAGGAGAACTGCTTGTGTTGACTCAGAGTACAAAACATAAGATGTATGGTTTTGGGAGACATGGTAGTAGTTGTTTGGGTTTTAGAGTTTCAAGCTAAGGACGATGGGATTGTAAGTACTTCATGCAGCGGCAGTAGAGGGTTAGATTCAATGGAAGAACCTAGGGCATGCAAGGTTTTGGGAGCTGAAAACAGGTTATTTCTGTATGTCACTATCCTAAGATATGGAATATGGAAGGATTGTATGGAGAAAGGCAGGCGACTTTGAGGAGAATTGTAATAGGGAGGAGCTGGTAGGTCTACATGTAAGTACTAGTGGAAGCCGGCGCCGAGGCTCACTAGGCTAATCCCCTGCCTTGTGGCGCCGGCACACTGGGTTCTAGTCCTGGTCGGGGTGCCGGATTCTGTCCAGGTTGCCCCTCTTCCAGGCCAGCTCTCTGCTGTGGCCTGGGAGTGCAGTGGAGGATGGCCCAAGTGCTTGGGCCCTGCACCTCATGGGAGACCAGGAGAAGCACCTGGCTCCTGCCTTCAGATCAGCGTGGTGCGCCGGCCGCAGCACGCCAGCCACGGTGGCCATTGGAGGGTGAACCAATGGCAAAAGGAAGACATTTCTCTCTGTCTCTCTCTCACTTTCCACTCTGCCTGTCAAAAAAAAGAAAAAAAAAGAACTAGTGGAGCATCAGAGTGTTAGACCCGGGACAGGGCCTGGGGAGCAACCTTAGGAAAAGTGAGGGAAAGGGTATCAGGAGGCAGGCCGAGGGAACTTGCAGGAGGGACTGGGGAATGTGTGCTGATTTAATCAGGAAATTCGACCAAAGTCTATAGAGTACCAAGAGATGGAGAGGATCTTATCTGAAATAAAATAAGGGTTAATAGGGGGCTTGGGTACATGGAGAATCTGATTTAGCCTGGGAATGAAGTTTGTGGCTTGTAGTCAGCTTATAGAAGTCAGAATTATAGCAGAGGACTTTTTCTTGGTAAATGTTGTGGTTTTTTTTTTTTTTTTTGGCTTTCAAAGGAGTGTCTGTGATGTACCCACATCAGTTCTAGTTATTTAAGATAATACAGAGAGCATCATGAGGGTTTTCGAAAAAGTTTGTGGAAAGAGGGATTTGTAAGGTTGTTTCATTGTGTGTGTGTGAGTGTGTGTGTGTATGTATGTATAGTACTATGCTTACGCATTCAGCTGATGAAAATTTCTTGTTGTCGCTGCCGTGAAGCATAAATATTGTGGTGTACTTATCTCTCTGATACAGTATGTCCATGTGCTTTGGGTTATAGCCAATAGGTGGGTTGCTCTATCATATGGCAAGTCTATTTCTGGTTTCTTAAGAATCTCCATACCGTTTTCCACAGCAGCTGCACCAATTTACATTTCCACCACCAGTGTGTAAGTGTTCTTCTTGTCCCACATACTCCTCATCATTGTGACTCTCCGTCCTTTGGGTTTTAGCCAGTATGTACGTGTGAGCTGATATCCCATTGTGGTTTGGATTTGCATTTCCCTCATAGGTTATGATGTTGAGCATTTCTTCCTGTATTTCTTGGCCATCTGTATATCTATGGGGAACTTTCTGTTGAGTTCCTTTGGCCATTTCATATCTGGATTGGTTGTGTTTTTTCTTGCTGCTATTTTTTTCTAAGTTGCAGATGTATTCTTGATATTAATCCTTTGTCAGATAGGTAGCTGACAGTTATCTTCTGCTCATTCTGTTGTATGTCTCTTCTATCTGTGATGACTTCCTTTGCTGTGCAAAGCTTTTAATTTCATTTAATCCCATTTGTTTAGTTTTGATTTTGCTGCTGGGCTTTGAGGGTCTTTTCCAAGGGTCATCGCCTATTCCAGTGTCTTGGAGCTTTTCTTTGTATTACCTTCAAAAAGCTTCATAGTCTCAGGTTATAGATTTAGGTCTGTGATCCGTTTTGAGTTGATTTTCCTATTTTATGGGAGTTATGAATCTAATTTCGATGTTCTACACAAATACATCCATTTTTGCCAACAGCATTTGTTGAAGAGTTTTTCCTTTCTCCAATGGATAGATCTGAATCCTAAAAATCTGGTGTTGTACATATTTGGATTAATATTGGAGCTCACCTTGTTTTCTTCCATTGGTCTGTGTGTCACTTTTTCTGCAAGTGCTTTGATATTTGGTTTAGTGTAGATTTGTAGAATACTTTGAATCAGGTGTTGTGAGGCATCTAGGCTAATTTTGTTTTGTCTTTTTTCTCAGGAACACCTTATCTATTCTGGATCTTGTGTGATTTTGTATGAATTTTCGGTTTGTTTTATGTAATTCTGTAAAGAATGTCATCGGTGTTTGGATACAAATTTAATTGAATCTTTAGGTAGCTTTAGGTGGGGTAGAGATTTTAATTATACTATTCTTCAAATCCACCAAAAGGGATATCTTTCCATTTTTTGTGTCCTTGGTGATTTCTTACATCAGTGTATGGCAATTTTCATGATAGAGCTCTTTGGCTTCTTTGGTTACATTTAGTCTTAAACATTTTATTTCTGTCGTTATTATCTTTGGGATTTTTTTGATTGCTGTGTCAGTGAGTTCATCATTAATGTATAAACACTGCTGCTTACACAATATGCTTATTTGTAACCTGTGACTTCACTTAATTGTTTCACCAGTTCTAGCAGCGTTTTTGGTGGATTGTTTTAGTTTTTTCTCGTACCATAGCATGTCACATGCAAGCATTTAGAATTTCAATTTCTCTTTTATAATATAGGTGCTATTTCTTTCTTTCTTCTGCTTTCTTTCTCTTGTGAAAATTTACAGTACTGCATTCTGTCAGAGTGGTAAAAGGGGACATCCTTGTGTTACATGTTTGACAAAAATGCTTTCACTTTTTGCCCATCCAGCATGCCATTGGCTTTGAATTGTCATACATAGCCTTTATGATTTTGATACCTATTCCTTTTGTACCTACTTTGTGGAGGTTTTTTTTTTTTTAATAATGAATGGGATTGAATCTTTTCAGGTTATTTTTCTGTATCTAATGAGATGATAATGTGTTTTTTTTAAAAAAAGCTTTATTGCACTTTTTGCAAGAATTACAGAGAAACATAATGAGAACAGGTGAGCAAGAGAGAGAGTGAGAGAAGATGAGAGTGAGAGAGAGAGAGATAGGGGTGTTATAGGCTGCAGCGGTATGGTAGGCTTGGAGAGTGAGGGAGGGATTTGCTGCATTTAAGCTTATGGGACAGAGATGCCCAGGGCATCTACCCAGCGGCATTCTCCCCCCAAATCTGCAGGTTTGGAGGCACGGGGGGGGGCAGCAGATCTATTGTGAGGAAGCCAAGAAGTGGATGTCTGCCTCCCCTGCTCCCTCCCACAGGGCACTGATGTGAAACTAACCCAGAGTGGACGGTGAAGCGCAACTGCCGGGTGTTCTTCCAGTTCTGGAGACTGCACAGCTTCCTGCTCAATGCCAGCTGGACCTTCTTCCTAGAGAGAAGCAACTGGTGAGCAGATGTGGCACCCTCAGTTGTATCCATGTCCTGAGTGCACAAGGGGAAGGGAAGGGACAGCCCGTTCCCAGGGGTTGGGCGGCCCAGGCTGACACAATGTGGACTTCCACCCTGTGGCAGGGAGGGTCATGTGGGGTAGCCCCACAGGCAGGGGGAGAAATGCAGGGGCCTGGTGGGCTTCAGCAGAGTGTGAGAGCATGGAAACAGGGTGGGTAGTATGTTGGGGAATGAGTTCCCCGGGGCTCTGCAGAGCATTAGGGGCCAAAGAACATGGTAATAGGGGAATACTTGGGTATGCGGGAAATGGGAGGGAGACCTGGAGGACAAGTGTGTGCTGTTGAGTCAGAGTACAAAACCCAGGAAGTCTGGTTTGGAGAGATGTGTTAATAAAAGTTTGGGTTTTAGATTTCGGGGCTAAGAATGATGGGATTGGAAGTAAATTGTGTGGTGTGATTGGATTGTTAGATGCCATGGAAGAACCTGGGGCAAGCAAGGTGTTGGGAGCTGAAATCAGGTAATTTCTGTATATCACCATCCTGGATATAGACAGGGAAATGGAAGGATTGTATGGAGGAGGTCAGGTGACTTTCAGTAGAGTTGTAATAGGGAGGACCTTGTAGGTCTACTGGTAGGACTGGTGGAGTCTCCAAGTGTTAGATCTGGGACAGACCTTAGGAAAAGTGAGGGTAAGAAAATGGTGAGGGGTATAGTGTGGTCTTTCTTAGGGACTGTGGTATGGGTGCACGGTTAATTAGGAAACTTCAACAAAAGTCTCCAGAGTACCATGGATGGAGAGAGGCTTATGTGGGAGAAAACTGGATTGGTGTGTGCTTAGGAAGACAAGAACCTGATCTAGCCTGGATTGAAATTTGTGGCTTGAGGTCAGCTTATAGAATCTGAATTTGGGCACAGGACTCTCTCTTGGTAAAGGTGTATTTCTTTGTCTTTCAAAGATGTTTCTGTTATGTGCCAGCATTTGTTCTAGTTATTTAATGTAATGCAGGGGCCAACATGAGATACTTTGTAAAGTTTGTGGAAAGAAGCGGTTGTGAGTTTGCTTTCAAGACATTTTGATGAACTGCATACAGCTTTGTCGTGGTGCATGTTTTCCATATCCTTCTAGGCAGCTCTGTGTGAAAGCTTCTGCTTTCATGGAGTTTTTGTTCCGATTGCTGTTTGGGGGCTGGGGATGACTTAGTCCTGCAGGACTTTACCAGGTAGGAGTTCTTGAAATATCTTCCCCTTATGTTGGAATGTATACTTTGTAGTACTTCCTATTCCTCATTTGATTTTTCCATCTCTGATATTTCCTTTGCTTTTATGATCCATTGAACCATGTGTTTTTGTTTCACACTGTCACTTTTATTAGGAATGCAAATTCTTCCTTAGGTTTTACTTTATAGGATGTGTCATTCTTTACAATGCAGTGTTATTTTTGAGTCACACTTATTCTGAATTATATAGCCTTTATACTCTTACTTTTTAGGTTATTTCTACAGAAGATTTGCAAGCTTACATTTTTATGAAAGTCAGGATTTTCCATGTACAGAATTTTATGAATGTGCAAATTTTATATATTTAATTTTCCTGAAATGTGAGTGCTTACCCATTTTATATAAATTTCTATTAAAGATTGATGTTGTCTCCAGTGGATGTATTTGTTTTTTTATTTTTTTATTTTTGACAGGCAGAGTGGACAGTGAGAGAGAGAGACAGAGAGAAAGGTCTTTCTTTTGCTGTTGGTTCACCCTCCAATGGCCGCTGCAGCTGGCGTGCTGCAGCCGGCGCATCACGCTGCTCTGAAGGCAGGAGCCAGGTGCTTCTCCTGGTCTCCCATGGGGTGCAGGGTCCAAGGACTTGGGCCATCCTCCACTCACTCCTGGGCCATAGCAGAGAACTGGCCTGGAACAGGGGCAACTGGGACAGAATCTGGCGACCCAACCTGGTACAAGAACCCGGTGTGCCGGCACCTCAAGGTGGAGGATTAGCCGATTGAATCACGGCGCCGGCTTGTATTTGTTTTTTAGGCTAAAATAATTCTTGGGTATATTTTATAGAACAATTCTAAGAATAAACGACATTCCTTTTTTTTTTTTTTGACAGAGTGGACAGTGAGAGAGAGAGAGAGAAAGATCTTCCTTTGCCTGGTTCACCCTCCAATGGCCGCCGCAGCCAGTGCACTGCGGCTGGCGCATTGCGCTGATCCGAAGGTAGGAGCCAGGTGCTTCTCCTGGTCTCCCATGGGTTGCAAGGTCCAAGCACTTGGGCCATCCTCCACTGCCCTCCTGGGCCATAGCAGAGAGCTGGCCTGGAAGAGGGGCAACTGGGACAGAATCTAGCACCCCGACCAGGACTAGAACCCAGTGTGCGGGTGCCCCTAGGCAGAGGATTAGCCTGTTGAACCACGACGCCGGCTGACATTCCCTTTTCTGCTCTCCTTTCAACACTGTCTTTCCCAGTGTACCTCTTCCTTTCTTTCTCCCTTTGTTCCTCCCTTCCTTACTTCCTTTCTTTCATCCATTTTTGGATGGTTTTTATATTTGCATTTTAGTAAAAGGCTAAGTGCTTTACCAAATAAGAAGTTCAGTAACCAAAAAGTAGGGGTGAGGCAATATTTGGCATCCCATACAGGTGCTGGTTCAAATCTCATTTACTCCACTTCTTTTTTTTTCAAGATCTATTTATTTATTTCAAAGACAGTGTTATAGAGAGGCAGAGGTAGAGAGAGCGAGTAAGAGGTCTTCCATCCACTGGGTCACTCCCTGGAAGGCCACAGCTAGCGGAGGTGCACTGATCCAAAGTCAGGGGCCAGGAGCTTGCTCAGGGTCTTCCTACACAGTTGTAGGGGCCCAAGGACTTGGGCCATCTTCTACTGTTTTCCCAGGCTATAGCAGAGAGATGGATCAGAAGTTGAAAAGCTTGGACTTGAACTGGCACCCATATGGGATGCCGGCACTGCAGGAGGTGGCCTTACTCATTATGCCACAGCACCGGTCTCTACTCCATTTCTGATCCAGCTCCATGCTAAAGCACCAAAGCATCAGAGGACAGCCCAAGTGCTTGTGACTTAGGAGCCATGTGGGACACCTGGAAAAAGCTCCTGGCTCCTGTCATCATCTTGGTCCAGTCCTGGCTGTCTTGGCCATTTGAGAAGTGAACCAGCAGATGGAAGATCTCTCCCTCTTTCTCTCTCTCTGTATGTAACAGTGTCTTTGTAATAAACAAAGTAAATCTCATAAAATTAAGGGAAGAACAGAAACCCTAGTTTATAGGGAATATAAGCAACAAGTATAATCAGTTGAATGGAAAAATGACCATTTTTCCCATACACCCTAAATTTAAAGTAATCACAGATCATTACAACTATACTAATGCTACATTCTTTTTTCTTTTCAAAATTTTTTTAAGATTTACTTTTACTTACTTAAAAGACAGAATTACTGAAAGAGGTGTAGAGGTAGAGAGAGTGGTCTTCCCTCTGCTGGTTCATTCCCCAAATGGCCACAATGGCTATAAATGAGCCAATCCAAAGTTATGAACCAGGAGCTTCTTCCGGGTCTCCCACGTGGGTTCAGGGCCCCAGGACTTGGGCCATCTTCTACTGCTTTCCCAGGCCATAACAGAGAGCTAGATCAGAAGAGGAGCATTGGGGTCTAGAACCTGTGCCCATGTGGGATGCTCACCTTTCAAGCCTGGGATTTAACACACTGCCACACAGCCCCTACCCCTTCAATTGTTTTTAAAATGAATGAAAAGAGAACATATTTCATGAATTGTGTAGGTACAGTTCTAAGAATAAACCCAGAATTTCCTCTCTTCCCCTTTCCCCTCCTTCCTTTCCTCTTTTCATCTATTTTTCATGATATGATTATAATCCATGTAATATTCAGGGTAACAATAATATTCATAGGAAAAAGGTACAAAGAATAAAGTTCTACTGGAGCAGTATGATCTTTTATTTTAGGACATTAAATTTAAAAAAAAAACAACATTAGTTTTCTTGAGAGGCATTGTTACAGAGAGAGGAAGACATAGAGTTAGAGGTCTTCCATCCATATGTGCTCATTCTACAAATGGCCACAATGTCTGGAGGTGGGCCAGTCCAAAGGCAGCAACCAAGAGTTTTTTGCATCTTTCCCACTATGTTGCAGGGGCCCAAGCCTTTGGGCCATCTTCCACTGTTTTCTCAGGTCATCAGCAAGGAAGTGTATTGGAAGTGGAGCAGCTGGACTTGAACTGGTGCCCATATGGGATGCCGGCACTACAATGGATGCTTAACCTACTATGCCATAATTCCAGCCCCAGTATTCTGTTCTTAACCATTGTTTTGTCCAGTTTTCAAACAAAGTTTTATAGGAGTATATTTGCGGCAGTAGTGATACACATTCACATTTATATTTCTTTTTTTGTGTTTTGATTTTTTTCAAAAAGTTAACTTTCACATGTAAGGTAATACATGTGGTATTTTTCTTTTTCTGGCTGATTTCTCTAAGATGAAGTCCTCCAGTAACTCCATTTTGATGCACTTGATAAAATTTCATTATGTTTAAGTCCTGAAATACATTTCATTGTAGATCTATACCATGTTTTCCTTATGCATTCATCTGATGATAGAAATCTTTGTTTAATCTTTATAAATAAATCCATGTTTATTCCTTGTGATTGCTGTGAACCATATTGCAATCCACATGGTGGTGGAGGTATCTCTTTGATAGAATAATGTTCATTTCTTTTGGGTGTAGACCCAGTGGTGGGATTGCTGAAGCATATGGCTGGTTTGTTTCTGTTTTTTAAAGATCTGTTTATTAGAGAGGCAGAGTTACAGACAGAGGGAGAGACAGATAGAAAGGTCCTTCATCAGCTGGTTCACACCTGAAATGGCTGTAGTGGCCCAAGCTGCGCCAGGCCAAACTTGGGAGCCAGGAGTCCCTACCCATGTACCCACGGTTCTGCATGGGCATGCAGATGTCCAAGCTCTTGGACCATCCTCCACTCCTTTATGCAGGCCATCAGCAGGGAGCTGAATTGGAAGTGGGGCAGTTGAGACTTGAACCGATGAATATATGGGGTGCTTGTGCTGCAGGTGAAGGTTTAGGCTGCTATCCACAGTGCCAGCCCCTCCTTTCCTTTTCTGTAGTGTCTTCTTCCAGTGTAAACTGAAATAGTAAAGCTTTATATTTATACGTGCCATCAACACTTAGGCAAAGCAAAGTATGGGCTGGGGATAAAGTCAACATTTTAATTTTTGAAATTTTTTATTCATTTATTTGAGAGGATGAGAATTAGAGAAAGAATCTCATCCACTGATTGAATTCTGAGATACCTGAAATAGCCAAGGCTGCACTGGGCCCAGGAGCTGTTTTTTTTCTCCCGGTCTCCCAAGCACTTGGGCCATCCTCCACTGCCCTCTCGGGCCACAGTAGAGAGCTGGACTGGAAGAGGAGCAACCGGGACTAGTACCCGGCACCCCAACTGGGACTAGAACCCAGGGTGCCGGCGCTGCAGGTGGAGGATTAGCCAAGTGAGCCACGGTGCCAGACTACTTCTTTGTAATGTTATGATCAATTTTTTGAATTCCATTTCTTTCAATTCTTCTATCTCATCATCTTCACAATCTAGTATTGAAGTGTCATGTTCTTTGTTTTAAGGTTTGATTATTATTTATTTGAAAGTCAGCACTACTAAGAGAGAAGGAGAGGCAGAGAGAGAGAGAGTTCTTCTATCAGCTGCTCACTACCATGTTGTCTGCAGTGGCCGGAGCTACACCGATCTGCAGCCAGGAGCCAGGAGCCAGGAGCCAGGAGCTTCTTCTGGGGATCTCCCATGTGGCTGCAGGGGCCCAAGGACTTTGACCATATTGCACTGCTTTTCCAGGCCAGAGCAGAGAGCTGGATTGGAAGCGGCACAGTCAGGACTCGAACCAGTGCCCATATGGGATGTTGGTACTGCAAATGCAGCTTTACCCCTTGTATCACAGTGCTGGCCCCAAAGTGTCACATTCTTTTGGTGACATTATGTTGTCTTCCTATTCTTGTTTCTAGAATTGGTGCATATATTGTTTGGCATTTGTGGAGATACTTGTTGGTTTCCACTTTCTCTCTTTTTTTTTGGGGGGGGTGTGTGGCAACTTTTATCTTTGGACTATGACTGTGAAGATAGTGGAAAGTCTACTTTTCAGTGAAAATCTAGAGGCTTATAGTGGGTTTGGCCAAAGAGCTCTGTTCAGTTCTCCAGGGATAAGGGCATGCGCAAGTTTGTGTTACATTTATTCGCTCTGTCCCAAGGGTCACACAAAGGATCTGTGCATTCCTCAGTGTAAGATCAGTTTCCCTAACAGTATCTCTAACAGGTAACCAGGAAACCCTGAGCATATGGAGTCTCCCATTGTAACTGCTCAAAGTCCTAGCCACACTGTGAGTCCTCCCACACACCCTCAGTTTTTTTCCCTGTCCAAGTACAGAAGCCTCACACAGTCACAAGCTGTCGGCCCGCTGTTAGTTCTCCCCAGCAGAATCAAGAGTCTCCACTTGGCTGATTGATGGGTAAAGACATGAGCTGGCACACCTGTGATGTATATCCAAAATCACACCCCTCTACTGACATGTTACAGGACGCTGTTGTAAAGTTATTGGGGAGAGAGAAACGTGTCCATCCCATTCTTTTTCTTTTTTTCCTGTAGTTTGGCTAGTACAGTATCTCCCATGTTGCTCCAAGCCTGGTTCCCTCTAGACTCTTCCTGCAGCTTTTTCACCAGTGGCTGGTCTGCTGTGTTCTGGTCTCACTTCACTTTCCAGTGCTGGTCCATAGGCTCTTGGCTGAGTAGGCTGGAGTCCTGAGCCATGGGCGTCCATGCCTGCCACGTAGGTCCACCCTGTCTCTCTAATTTTGGTAGAGTTTCCTCTGCCGTTTTCTCCCTAACTATTCCCTGAGATTACCCTCTCCACATTTTTTAAACTATAATCTCCTGGGCTACAGCAGTAAACTCCTCCCTGCTCTGCCATATTGGGACCACCTATGGGTTCTAATAGTCTCTGAGTGGAGTCTTTGGATCCTCTATATACATAATCATGGCATCTGCAAATAGGGATAGTTTGACTTCCTTCTTCCTGATTTCTATCCCTTTGATTTCTTTTATTGCATAATGACGCTTGCTCAAACATACAGGACTGTATTGAATAGCAGTGATGTGAGAGGGAAGCAACCGTTTTCTGGTTCCAGATCTTAGTGGGAATGGTTACGACTTTTCCCATTCAGTAAGATGCTGGCCATTGGTTTGTTATAAATTGTCTTGCTTGTGTTGAGGAAAGCTCGTTCTATACCTGATTTGCTTCAGGTTTTCATCATGAAAGGGTGTTGTATTTTATCAAATGCTTTCCATGCTAATGATGAGATAATCATATGGTTTTTGTTCTTCAGTTTGTTAATATGGTGTATCACATTGATTTGTGAATGTTGATAATCTCTGTGTACCAGGGATAATACCCCCTTTGTCCAGATGAATGATCATTTCTTACATGTTATTGTATTCAATTGGCTAGTATTTTGATGATGGTTTTTTTGTGTGCTTATCAGGGACATTTGTGTGTAATTTCTCTCTTGTATCCTTTTCTGATTGGAATTAAGGTGATGCTGTCTTCATGGAAGGAGTTTGGAAGGCTTCCCTCTCTTTCAGTTGTTTTGAATAGCTTGAGAAGAATTGGTTTTAGTTCTTCTTTGAATGTCTAATAGAATTCAGCAGTGGAACTGTCCAATCCTAGGTTTTTCTTTGTTGGGAGTATCTTCATTACTGATTCAATTTCTTTTTTGTTTATTGGTATGTTTGCTTTTTTGTGTGTTCCTGGGTCAATTTTGGTGGGTTGTGTGTGTCCAGGAATGTTTTTCTTCTAGGTTTCCTGATTTGTTGGGCTATAGCTCTTTGTAGTAATTCCTGATGAGAAGTCAGCTGTGAGTCTAATTGGAGACACTCTAATAGTAATCTGATATTTTTCTTTTGCACATTTTGGAATCTTTTCTTTATGTTTTACTGTGGAGCATTTGACTACAATATGTTGTGGAGAAGGTCTTTTCTGGTCATGTGTATTAGGAGTGCTGTATGGCTGGCGCCATGGCTCAGTAGGCTAATCCTCCGCCTGTGGCACCAGCACCCTGTGTTCTAGTCCTGGTCAGTGCTCCAGATTCTGTGCCATTTGCTCTTCTTCCAGTCCAGCTCTCTGCTGTGGCCCAGGAGTGCAGTGGAGGATGGCCCAAGTGCTTGGGCCCTGCACCCGCATGGGAGACCAGGGGAAGGACCTGGCTCCTGGCTTCAGATCAGCATGGTGCCTCATCTGCAGTGCGCTGGCTGCAGTGGCCATTATTGGGTGAACCAATGGAAGAAGGAAGACCTCTCTCTCTGTCTTTCTCTCTCTCACTGTCCACTCTGCCTGACCCCCCACCCCCCCAAAAAAAAAAGAGTGCTGTGTGTGTGCTTCTTCAAATTCGGGAAGTTTTCTGTAATTATTTCACTAAAAGGCCTTCTAATCCATTCTCCCTCTCCATGCCTTCAGTAACCCCTAAGACTCTATATATTGGTCATTTGATAGTATCCCATAAATCTCCAACTCTATTTTACATTTTTCTAATTTCTTCTTCTTTGTGTTTGACTCTTAATTTTGCAGAGATTTGTCTTATGGAGTCTGTTGTTAAGGCTTTCCATCGCATTTTTTAAATTTGATCTATTGAGCTCTTCATTTCTAGAATTTAATTTTGATTTTTATTTCAAATCTCAATTTCATGGGAAAATTTTCATGCATATCAGTTACGGATTTATTTAATTTGTGGTTTTGCTTCTGATTACTTCTGAGTAAGCCTACAGTTAATTTTTTGAAATATATTCCCTGAATTTTATGAATTTCTTCACCTTCCAATATTGCAGTGTTGTGTTTTTTTTTTTTTCGGGGGCATCATGTTATTTTCTTTATTCTTGTTTCTTGAATTTCTGCATTTTATATTTATGCATTTGTGGAGATACTTAATTTTTTTCCCTCTGATGGCTTTTATCATTGGACTGTGTCTCTGTGAATTAGTGGAGTGTCTGCTGTTTCAATGAATACCCAGAGGTGTGTGCTGCTTGTGACTAGGCAGCTCAGGTCACTGCTCCAGTGTGGGAACAGTGTCCAGGGTAACACCCATATTGGGCATGTTAGATCTCCTCTTGTCCTCTTGTTAATAGAAAAGAGGATATGGTCACTGCTGTTGGCATAATCACACCCTCACTCCTCTTTTCCAAGGTGAGAATAACCCAGGTGTTAGCCCTCAGTGGGTACTATTCTGTTCTGTGGTTCTGCATGAATGGCACAAAGGATCTGTGCAGTCTTCAGTGTGAGCACAGATCCTGCTGCAGTGACCCACCCCAGGCAGCCAGGGTGCTGAGCTTGTGGAGCTACACACAGTAATCTCCCAGAAATGCAGCTACACCAGGCACCCTCTCCTGCATGCATGGGTTCCCACAGTCTCAGTACCAGGGCTCCCACTAGACACAGGGTGCAGAAGATCCACCCCACCCCACTAACCTGTTCTGTCCATGGAGAAGCTGAGAACCAGTTGCCTAGGGGTGCTCCACTTAGGCAGTTTGAGCTCCAGAGCCTGCATTATGTTGAGAGGCTAAGGGCTCGTGATAGTCATAGGTGCATTTGCAGCCCCCTGTCAGTCTTTCCACCCAGACTGAAAGTCAGTGGGGAAGACAGATTTTTCCCTGTGGTGAAATCCCTGGTCATACATGTCCACAAGAGCTACTGGCCACAGCACTGCTTGTTTCACAATCATGCCTTCTCCCCGCCAGTTTATGGACACTTAGAAGAGTCTCTGCAGCTAGTGATGATGTCGGAATGGCTCCTTCTCCCTGCCTGTTGCTGGGTGTGTGCCCCTGGGCTGTTGCTACTTGAGACAAGATGGCGCCTTTTCCCTGACTGTTGCTGGGAGCCTGCACGAGAGCTGCTGCAGCTACTAGCTACTTACATCCAACATGGTGCCTGCCCTCTCTGAGCTGCTAGTCAGGGTCTGTTGTGAGGGGATGGGGAGAATTGTCTCTCTTTTCTGCTGGGGTAGAGGATATCCTGTTACTCACAGGGTCCATGACACATCCAACAGTTAGTCTGCTAGGCTGTCTCTGCAGCTATTTCAGCAGTGGCATGGGCCACTGCAGCCTGATCTCACCTTGTTCTTCAGAGCTGGCACTTTCTCCAGCTCTCA